ATGGAACCATTTAGACATAATATGGCATCGTGAAGCACCTTTATTTTAAGAGTGTATTGAGCATTTCATATAAATAAGCAGAAGTGTGTGTTTTCACACAGAGTGTTACCACATCCTAGACTACAGGACTATGGCAAAATTATGAAATATCATGAAAAGGATGCAACACTCTAGAAATTTCAAAATGAAAGCGTGATCAAAAGACAATGAATTTCTCATTCGAGAAGCAGGGCCTCAAAAAACAGTTTGAGAAGAAAGACACGCATTAACTGTGAAAAACCTGAAACATGTCATGAAATACATGAAGACTGATTCTTTACATGTTTATGTATGAATAACTCTTGAGGGATGAGCACCAGTTCAAGATATGTCTTTCTCTTGAGCATTTCATCATTTTTGACTCACTTAAATCTCTTGTTGGCCATTTTACTTGTATAATAATAATAATAATAATAATAATAATAATAATAATTATTATTATTATTATTATTATTATTATTATTATTATAAACTTCCAAATAATTATGCACAGCTGTATATCATATTTTTCATTTTAAGCTACTCATGAATTACCTGTCACCTAAATGACTATACAGTGTGTATGAAGATAATCATATGTTTGTATTTGTGATTTTTAGACTCATGATCCATACTGACGCACAGACAAGGTGAGATATTACACATCATAAACAGAGAATAAAGAGAATTCAAATAGATTAGATGCAGGAACCTGTAATATCGACAGCTGTGTGTGTTATAGTTCTGAGAGTGTTTTCTCTCTTTAGAAAGCAGTGTTTTCTTTTGTCTAACCAGAACTTTCATCAAATTCAGTCCCTGATTAAGGAGTGCATGTCTTGTAATAATAGTTCATTCATACACACAGTTTAGACAGGATGAATGTGTTGTACTGTACTGCATGTCTTCTCATATAATGCATGTTTTTATAAATGAGCAATAACAATGATTATGTATTATTAGAACACAATGTAGCATACCTCTCAGAATTCACAGAAATATGAACTGTAATGAAGTTATTTTTTTTAATGAATTTCTCTGTATTGAATCAGTACTACTGAAAGAATTACATAAGTTCACACACTGCTTCAAATAAATATGAATAATACTTCTGTTAACTTTTTGTCTTATTTTTTCATGTTGTACTTTGTGATTTTGAAAAAATTAACAGTACTGTAATACTGTACGCATTCATAAAAAAAAATAAACAAAAATAGCAGCAGGCAACAAAGCACGTTGCAAACCTTTAAAACAGGGCTTTACTCACCAGACCACATGAATTTCTATGCAAAGCTGCTGAGATTACCCTTTTCATGGACAATGTTGACTTTATAAGGCTGTAGTTCAGTAATGGTTATGAATTTCTTTTTTTTAAAGGCATTTGATAACTGTTTGTTAAATATATTACTGTGGCATCTATGTAAGTGCTTAAAGCAGAAAAAGAAAAGTGTGTATACAGCGGGTAAAATAAGCTTGTCTAGGCTCAGTGCCAGAAGAGGCGTTAACCTGTGCTTCTCTGTAACTCTTAGCCACAGACACTTCAACACAGACCTCAGAGCTATTTCCCTATTTCAGCTCATCACAAGGTAATGACTCAGTTATCTTTAATTGTGTTGTAGATGAAAGACTTTCATTATTAAATCGGATTTGTATTATAATGAAATTAAACTTGAAATTGTATGTTTCTAGTCCAACTAAATTGCTCACAACTTAAAGGGGTGGTCTACTGTCTTTTTCTAAAGGCTTGATTGTGTTTATGGGGTGCACTGTAACATGGGTTCATGCTTCGTTTTTTGTTTAAATCCCATTATTTTTCACATGTTGAGACCCAGAGAATATTAGTGAAGAGGATCGCGCAGAACTTGTGCAAGCACGGCTCTTACCGGACGTTTCAGAATAGTATGTTTCTTTGTTTGTTTTTTGTAGTTGTCTCATTTTTAAGATACACTGTTATTTGTAAATGCTATTGCTGTTTATGTTATCTTTGATTTACAGTTTTATCCGTACTAAAGCTTTACCCATTCTACAATTTACAATGTAGACTGTTAACAGAAAACACCTAAACAAAGAACATACAACAATTCTTCCTCTTCTCTAAAGCAGCCCAACATGGCCCCACCCCCTCTGTTGCATGTTCCCGGGGGCGGGGTTTATGTAAATTTTATGGTTTGTGATGTCACTAATCCAGGAAGTAGCTCATTGTAGGCTTTAAAAAGCGAATTCTGTAAAAGACAATTTCTCCCTTTGCATTAAACTTTGAGTGTCGAAACTTTACAGATGTTGTTTATGTGCAAACAGCAACATGACACACTAACTAAAGTTAAAAAAGTGAAAACGTATGACCCCTTTAAAATTCAATATTAGAATAATAATGTGTTGTTTCAACTTAAAAGAAAGTAAGTGTTCATGCTTGACTTCAAATTGTAAGTTCATTTTTTTTTTTACTTTAGTTTACTTAAGTTACTTTGCAAATTTGAAGTTGTTATAGCTAATTGCAGCAGTATATGTTTACAGTATATATTTTTACAGTATTTTAATGTATGATTCTGTATCATACTATATTAAGACTATCAAACTTTACACAGATTTGACATATTCTTAAATATGATGCTGCTATAATGTCTTTTTATTAAGTTGACACTATGTTTTTATCCAGAATTATTGCAGTCAATGTAAACCTGAAGACAAACATCTATGGTTGTCATTTGTGATTGCACTTCATTTAAAAATTGTACTTACATATTTATTTTTATTTTTACATTAAAGGGGTCATATGATGCGATTTCATTTTTTCCTTTCTCTTTTTTTCAGAACGATGAGCTTTGTAAAAATCTACACGTTTCAGAAAGGCGGGACATAGAGGAGAAACAATAATGTACAGTATGTGGAAAATAATGTGTTTTTTTTTACTTTAAACCGCATAAACACATTTCATTACACCAAATACACAAAATAATGTTCTTTTTAGCAGCATCATATGATCCCTTTAAGTTTCTCTCAAATTTAACATGTTCAATCTATACTATTAGCTTCTTATAGTTTAAGACACAGAAAGTGATTTTTCTGCACCAGCTGTGAAATAATTTCTTTCCAAGCAAAATAAAAAAATAAATAAAACAAAAAAGAAGAAAATGAGCTGTGAAGTTCCTGCATGGACAAGATCAGACATGAACTCCACAAATATATTCTAAATGTATATAACTAAACACCTTCACAGGTGTTAGTCTTTCAATTTCATTCCCATCTGTACAAAGAGGAATAATGTACTGCAATGAACATCCTGCAGTGAATTCTGAACACTAGAGTCTCAATCTTTATGATAGAAAACATCGTATAATACCTGTTGTTAGTGTTTGTCATGTCATTGTTTTATCTGTGAGAAAGTGTGTGTTTTTGGGTGAAAACCTTTGCTAGTGTTATAAAAGAATGAGCTGGTTTGAGACTGAATGAAGTGTTTTAGTAATTTTAGCACATTTTGAGTGTGCAATTGACTGCTGTGTCAAAATGAAAGTTATGAGTAAAGCTCCGTTCACACCAAGAGCGATAACTATAAACATAACTATAAAGATAACGATATTAGCGTCCACACCAGCGAACGATATGGTCTGTTCATTCTAAGCACACGCGCGTCTGTCGCTTTAAACTCTCCAGCTCGTCACAGCAGGATGGATTCTGATTGGCTGTCAGTGTTTGTATCGTTCATCAGCTGGAAAAAAAATCGTTCTGAAAGTGATTCCAACGATATCGTTTCTCTGTGCCTTTATCATTATAGCTGTGGTGTGCACTCTGCTATTCTTTAACATTGAGAACGATTTTTAGAACTATATCTGTATCGTTATCTTTATAGTTATCGTGCTTGGTGTGAACGGGCCTTAAGGGTGAAGGTTTGATTTAGTCATTGTGGGGACAAAACAGCAGACAACCCCCAAAGTGAAAGTGAAACAAACTTGTATTACATAATAATCACTGGTAAATGGTCAATTTAATTTCAAATCTTATTTTACATTTTGCAATATAAATTAAAGGCTGAACCTCAGTGGAGCATCAGAAACTGCGGGAATCACAAAATGAGCAGCAAAGAGGACGAGAGTCAATCTACTGAAGCAGGAGAGAAACAGACACTGAGAGAAGTTGCACGGAACAGCATTTATGGAGACAGACCAAACTGTGAGTATTTATAATCTTTATGATAAAACGCTGTTATGTGTATTCCATCCTCAGCTCTGTTTCATCTTCTGTTATCTGAACACATAACATTAATCCTGAACTTTAACATCCACCCATTGTAAATGAAATGTATGAAGATGTTTGTGATTTCCAGTTTGTCATGACTCAGACAGACCTGCAGAGATTCATTAAGATGATTTACAGACAGACGCTCACAGATGAGGTGAGATATTAATAACATACAGAGAATAAATGTCTAAAACTGAAATACAGTGTTATATTGACAGCCCTGACAGACTGTCTTCTCTTTTTAGAAAACAGCAAAAAACTAATATTGCACTTAAGAACTGGAAGCTTAGGCTTAAACAAAGTCTGACTGAGTGTTTAGTAAAAATAGTTGTATTTTATAGTACAGCTGTAGAAATACAATACTATTAGTTATATCTTAATGTCTTCACTTTCAGATAAACCATCAGGATCTTATTATGGTAGAAAGCAGCTTCTCTTTAGTTGGCAGCAGCTTTATAAGAGTTTCACATCATGGAGTCATGTTCCGGAGGGGAGGATGAAGAAAACAGATAAAGATGGAGAAAATTAAGAAGCTAATCATTGCCATTTATGAAGTTGATACTGTTTTTATCCACCATTAGAGTTACTGCTTGATGTATAAACCTGAAGATGAACATCTATGGTTGTCAACAGAATAAAGCAATTGCAATTAATCATGATTTCTGATCAGTATTCATTTATATTACAGTTTTTGCCTATTGCTTGAACACTTTTTGCAAAACTTCGGCTCATTGTGTCAAAACTTTACACACAAGCACACAAGACACAACACTGGGAAATAAGACACGCAAAAGTTAAAGAAATTGGAAGAATAACCCAGGAAGAATACATCCATGATTTGCAGATCAAAGTAGCAACAGTTTAGCAACATTGTGCTATTCCACAGTCATGCCAATAAAGCTCAATTGAATCGAATTGAATTGAATTTTTTGTGAACAAAAAGAACAGTTTTGATCAACATCCGGGTTAATAACGGAAACAAAAGTGTTCACTGCAATAGCAACATCTCCAATTCTCTTAGATAATGCTGACTTATACAATACTCTCCACTCAGGTTTTTCACTCTCTTTCAAATGAAGCATACCACGCCAAGGAGGATACATTTTTTTATACAATAGTCTTCTTATTAAAGATTTGAGAACAGATTTTGTAACAGACCTTTCCAGAAGTAGCATTCTGAGCCCATCACAATCAAATTGTTAACCTCTAAGAAACAGCCTCCACAATTGTCCATTATGGGAGTTAAATATAACTCGGGAAAAGAATCAGTACAATCTGGATTAATAAACCCCAGTGAGTAATCCAATAACAATTTCAGTTCTTTTTCAGGCAAAGCAGTCCTCCACTCGTCAAGTGCTCTGGCAACCAAACGAGTAGATCTCAACCACAGTTTCTCAGTCCCTGAACATCTATAAAGTTAGCTCCAGAGTTGAGAAGATTCTCTTCTGTCACAAAGTAACTCAGTTCACTGGACAAGGCCAAACGTGAGTCAAATATTAATGGCTCGTGCAACAGCCAGAACAAAGAGTTCACAGTCCTCTTCTTTGGAATCTTGAACAAGGCACACACTTTAAAAAGATTTGATAAAAAGCAGGAAACTTGGAGAGTTTCAGCTTCTGAGGATCTAGCCACAGTGAGGCTCTATCCAATCCTAGTCCTTCAACCCCTCTCAGTGTAGAGGTTTGGGTTCTCTGAGCCTGTTAAAAGTCTTTGTATGAACTGAATGTTTGTAGATGCACCAGTCCAAGTCCTCCTTCTTCTTTAGGAAGTTTCAATACACTTTTTGGTACCCAGTGCAGCTTGTCCCAAAAAAAGTCCACTAAACATGACTGAATCTTTGATCAAAGATCTGCTGGGGGATCTATGCAACTTTTGCCAGGCATTTATACAAGTTTAATCTATAAAAGTTAGCCAAGAGAGCAAATAACTTGGTTAGAGGGAGGACCAGCTTGATTTTGGTGCTCATGAAAAAATATTAAACATAGAAATAGTAATTACTATTTATAAATATTACTTCAAAATCAAAATGTACAGGTTTAAATCTTGATTTGTAACTTGATTTAATCCACTATTTTGCTTAATTTTTTTCTTTACAAAAATTACAATTATGACAATAAACGACAGCGAAAACACTCCACACAGAATCAGTGGCAGTAAATAAGGTGCTCTGTTACTGCACTCAGCATCAGTCTTATCTGTTCCTTCCTTGATTGTTATTTTGTCAAGAGATGCACAGCTGTTAGAGAGAGATACAGTACTCAAGATGAACGACAAATACATCTCTTGCGAGAAACAAATCTACTGAAGAAAATTAAAAAACAACAAATTTAATTTAAGAAGGTGTCAGTTTTAACATATTAATACTTACTTTGTATGCAATTTGCAGAATGTACCATTTGAATATGAACCAGCAGGACAGTAATCACACACTGTATCTCTGAACTCTGTTCCTATACAAATGCAATTAAAAAAAACAGCATCAGTACATGAGCAATAAAGACAGTGACAGGTCTCACAGATAATGACATCATTATTCAGTATAGCATCTGACACACTAAATTAATCTTCACATAACTAACTAATAATCAGCCTAATCATAATTTAGTAGTTTTTTCAGGTGGTTTTAAGAGACTCAAGCAAGCAATGTCTATCATGAGGAACCACTTAATACTTTCCCCAGGTGCAATAAATTGTAAAGCTGCTTTGGAACAACATGCATATTTCCATAATTGAGTTATTTAATATAAATGCAAGCGGAGTTATTGCACTCAGTTTTTATAGATGTATATTAAAGCTGCTCGACTGATAAAAGACTGACCGGTTTGGTTGATGTATTGTCCAGGTGAGCAGGTTGAATGTTTCATGGCCCTTTTACAGTTGGAGAGCAAGTCTATACAGTAATAACCTGGCAGAGGTTCACACACTGTATCTGATATTAATGTACATATCTGCTTTACTCTCAGCCCATCACCTTTGACAAGAAAGCAAACAAAAACCTGGCAATGTCAAGTCAGCTAGAGAAAAAAAAAACTACAATATATTTGAAAGCATGAAACCATGACGACTCACTAAGAAAGAAAGTTTTACTCACTTGGATCACAGACAGAACAGGGCAGACATTCTGTAAATCCATTAGGAGCATCAGTGTAAGTCCTCACAAGGCATGAATCACATGTTGTGCTTGTGTACTCATCACAATGTTTATGAACTCGCTTTCCTAGACAATATAAAAAAAAATTGCCAGCACATTTATTATACATTATTTATACATGCCATATATAACAGTATAAGTTGTATTTATTGTATGTCTGTATATTTCTATAAACTGTGTAGACTTAAAAATGAAATTTTTTTTTTGGTATGTTTCTTATATTCTGTATCTTGATTTTATGTTAAGTACATTTCTAACGCCACAACAAATCCCTTGTGTGCTTGTGCACACCTGGCCAATAAATCTTTTTCTGATTTAGAAAATAGCCTAGAATAAATAATCAAAATAATACAAATAATCAGACTGTAATAACGCTGGGTACACAGATTTTCTAATTAATCGGGATCTTGTTATGAACAATCCCAATATTGGTTTTTGACCTCTTTTTTTACTTTATGCCTATTTTCAGGGATATCTGCTTCTGCTGAACAACTTGACAAGAGTTGTGAATGTTTGCGAATCAGAATCAAAGTGAAATAAATCAGGAAATCTGCATCAATATCCAACCCTAGACTGGAGTCATGTTGTGTTTAATGCAATGATGGATAGATCAGTGATTCCAAACCATCTTCCATCTTGGAAACCACTAACCTAGACCTTGAAATCTATTTGTGGATTATGTAACTATAATAATATCTGTCAAATAAGTGACTTATAATAAAAAAACGAATGTCCATTGACATTCAGAAATAAAACTGTGTACTGTATAAATAGATTTCACACTGTAATTCAACACCTGGCCTGCCCTAGTTGTTTCTATACATTATTTTGATACCAGATGAAGGGAATGTACCACAAGTGTGATTTCTGTTCAAACATAGAACATTATTTTATGAGCATATTACAGTTGTTCATCAGTAATAATGAATGATACAGTTTAAAGCCTATAATGAAAAAGTATCATATGACCTCTTTAAGTATCTGACTTACCTTGATCACACATCGGGCAACAATCTCCATTAATTTCATATTCTACATTATTGCATGCTGCCACACAAAGCACAATCTTCATGAAGAGGAGAGGAAGCAGTTTTGATAGACTATAGAATATACACATATCTGGGAACTAAATAAATCATCTGCAGAGGTGGTCATTTTCATGGAGCTGAAAAAGAGATTTGTGTTTGATGGCTTTCAGAAAAATAGACAGAAATAAATTGTGCCAGACACTTTTAAATCCATTTTACTAAAATGTATGGGCCTCAAAACTAAACACCAATTATGCATTGACTCATTATTTTATACATTAATGCACCAGCAGGTGGCATGCCAACTCCTTAAGACAAGGGGAATGACAATTTACAAAATGCATATATTTCATATTATACAACATATATTTAGGACAGAAAGTTAAAGCATTAATTTTTAATTAACATTTGAAGATGCTGTATAACTCCATTCACTACATCTTATCAAAAGACAAAACTGCTCTAAATATAGTTCAATTATAATCTAGTTAATTATAAGTGAGAGGAATACAAAGGAAATGTATTATATAAATACCAAATGAATCACAGCAATCTCACATGGGTTTGCAGGTAAAGCTCCCATATCTGTACCAAACAGAAACGTGGGTGAGTGAAGTACTGTAAAGGTTTGAAAAAAAAGTATTTATTTAAATCACACATAACTATAATAACATAAAATGTTCAACATTTACACTTCATGGTGCATAATGTTTATATGCTTTAGCCAATCAGAATACTGAAACTTGAAGTAATGACATAGCTTACTGATTTCTGTTAGAGTATAACTGCTGTGTTTGATGTATGGGGAGAGCAGCCTACAAACTCCTTGCTGAGTACTGAAGCCGACTTCTGCTGATGAAACTACAAACAAAAGTAGTTTAAGTCAATTTTTCCTCGACTGATTACATCTCTGACTCCTGGTCTTCATTCATCATAACTGGTCTACAGGTCTTATCTGTACTTCCCTACACAGGTTTGGAATGACATGAGGATTAGTAAATAGTGGCAGAATTTTCATATTTGGGTGAACTGCCCCTTTATTTTAGTCAGAGTTTTTTTGCACCAAAACTAGCTGGAATTTAGTTTAACACAAGTATTTTCTACCTTCCACCTCGCCCTGCAATTTAAACAAGAATCTGGACTTTTATGTAAATTGCTCCTGTTATAATTACTTTACCATTTTACAACAGGGACACAAAAAACGCAAGGAAGGTTACACATGACTACACGTGGCAAGGACAACAATCCGTGACCATTGTTTGCTATTCTGAAAACTTTGCTTTCATTTTTAAATCTTGTGCAATATATTTTTACTTGTGTTTTTAAATTTTGTTTTCATGCTTGTTATTTTTTTATCCGTGACTGCAATACTTTAGGCACGATTCTGATCCCATAAAATGCTCCCCGGGCGCCGCAGCATAAATGGCTGCCCACTGCTCCGGGGGGGTGTTCACGGTGTGTGTGTGTGTTCACTGCTGTGTGTGTGTTCACTGCTGTGTGTGTGCACTTTGGATGGGATAAATGCAGAGCATTAATTCCTAGTATGGGTCACCATACTTGGCCACATGTCACATCACTTTCACTTTATTTATAAATTTAACAGATTGAAAACGAAAGTAAAAGAGGCCCGTTTAAAGATTTCTTATCCTGTGGCTCCCTCTAGTGGACTGAAGTTGTCCTCTATAGGGGGCAATATTTGCTCAGCCAATGTAAGTCTATGCTAAATTTTTGATTATTGATAATTAATACGAAAACTGTAAGTCCAATCAGTTAGAAAAGATAAAGCAACAAACTACAGATCCGGTCCAATAATAATACAACGTTTAAATAGAATAATAGTTTTCTCAAGCCAACATAACTAGCTAATAACTTCACTAATGTTAGTGCGGTGGATCAATGAATGCGGGAGAAGGTGAGAGATAACTTAGATACTGTGTATGTGTGTGTCTGTGCACAGCAGTAAACTGAATACAATGTTAGATTAACACTAAACAGTAGAAAATCAGTCCAGTCTCCCCATTAAAGTCTTGTGTTGCTTATAATAAATGTTGATAAAACATAAGCAGTCTTTCAGAATGCTCTCAGTTACATGTAGATGCATACTGTATGCTTTAGTGAGTGTGGCAGCGAGTATGAGGCTGGGAGGGAAAATCCCAGTATACTCACTACAAAAAAACTAGACTACACCACTGTTTATAGCCATAACCTTTGAGACACTACAGTTTCTAAGCATGCATATCAGATTAATAAGAATACAAAATAAGAAACTCACAAAAATTGCAGGACAGTGTAGCTATATACTTGTTTGCGACACATAACTCCCCCACTTTCAACAGAACACAGATTTAACTTCCCCCACAGAACTGGAACAACAACTTTCTCATTTAACATTTTTTTAATCCAGTATTTCTGCTAAATTAACTGATTTTAGATGACCTTTCAGATTTATTTAATTATAAAAATCTTTATAATCCAAGGGCGTATAGAATTTAGTAGAAAGCTAGGACATGTCCCTACCAAAATCCAGTGATTACTAAATTGTCCCTAGCAATAATTTTGATCAAACAATTAAATATATGTAACCGCTGTTGTTGTAATTTCGTCTGCATCTGAAATAAGACAAACCATTGATATTACCTGAGAAGTTAAAGTTAATACTAGGGATGCACCGAATGTTCAGCAAACGACATTATTCTGCCAAAAAAAAAAAAAAAAAGCTCTGTGTTCGGCCTAAGTGAAAAGACAGAATAAATTGTACAGAACAATGACTACGTTTACATGGACATCAGTAATCTAATTATTTACCTTATTCTGAATAAGACAATGTTACGATTGAGGTGATAACATGAGTTTCTTTTAGAATATTCCTTTCATGTTCCGTATTGTATTATATTGTATTGTATTGTATTGTATCGTATCGTATCTATCTATCTATCTATCTATCTATCTAGCTATCTGAATATCTATCTATCGATCTGAATATCTATCTATCTATCTATCTATCATTGTATTATATTGTATTGTATTGTATTGTATCGTATCGTATCTATCTATCTATCTATCTATCTATCTAGCTATCTGAATATCTATCTATCGATCTGAATATCTATCTATCTATCTATCTATCTGAATATCTATCTATCTATCTATCTATCTATCTATCTGAACATCTATCTATCTATCTATCTATCTATCGTTCGTCTATCTATCTATCTATCTATCTGAATAGTACATAGTTCGATTAATGGCACACGTCATTACGTCACCACGCAACGCCATACGACGTGCCCTCCAGAATTTAACATATAAACATATAGTTCGTCTTTATTATGATGCCATATACAGTTTTGGGTGTTTCATTTTTAATTTACTGAAAGCTTCAAGTGCAGTTAATTATTTGTTGT